TTCCTCACACTGGCCGTGTCCCAAGCATTAATTGGCTGATCAAAGGAGCTGGCCCCTTTGAACATTTCCTGCATGTCCGTCACTGCCGAAGTGTTCCACAAGCCTATGGGTTGGTTAAAGACCACTGCACTCGAGAACATATTGCCCATGTCCCTGACATTGGCTGTATTCCAAGCACCGATCGGCTGGTCAAAGGAACTGGCATCCTGGAACATAAAGGACATGTCAACCACTGCTGCAGTGTTCCACGACCCAATCGGCTGGTTGAAATTCGTAGCTTCGTAAAACATGCCTTTCATGTTCCTCACACTTGCCGTGTCCCAAGCATTAATTGGCTGATCAAAGGAAGTGGCTCTGTAGAACATGGCGTACATGTCAACGACTGCTGCGGTCTTCCACGACTCAATCGGTTGGTTGAACTTTGTAGCCTTCGAAAACATCTTGCTCATGGTCTGCACGCGTGATGTGTTCCACTCGCCTTGGTTTCGAAACAGAGGCAATATCTACTGCTTTGGGGCGAAGCTTCCTCTCGTCTTCCTCTACTCTCGTCTTCCTAATTGTATGTTGCAAAGAAAGGTATATAACTAAAAAGAAACAACAAACGGATACTAGCGGCCACACCCTACCCACTTCTTAGCACTCAGCACACACGGCTTGCTGATGCTTGCTGCCTACACCTGCCTCAAATGTGGCACACGGCTTGCTGACCTGCTTCCTCTCCGTTGCTACACTCCAGATCACTCCACCCGCCCACTCTGACGCGCTCCACCCGCGTTCCGGGAGGCGCGGCACCACCACCGACCCGACGGTGACCGGCGCCTCCGGGAACCGCGACGGGACCGGATGCACCGACCCCGGAGAGACGGAGAGACGGAACCGAGAGAGGCGACCGACCCGGAACCGGAGAGGCGTGAGAGAGAGAAGGGAGTTTCGGGGTCGGAGAAGGGTCGGAGAAAGGAAACTATACCTCACAATGACTCGACCGCAAGGAATGGTAGATGAACAACGAATTGATTCATGAACTTGGAGTGTGCATGGCACCACTGGCCCGGTGCCAGGACCAATGCTTCCGCCCAGGGA